AGGTCTTGCATTGCGGTAAAAAAGGAAGAAGAACACAGGGAGTCTTTATATATATATATATATGTATACATATATGCCAATATATTCTAGACTCCGGAAGTTCCTTGTTGAATAGTTTGCGCCGCTGGTAGTTAGCTCCTTGTCGTTGGGTTCAAGTTCGCTCATGCGTATCGATTTTCATCACCCAGTTGATATTGAGCAAAGAAAAGTAGCTGTGAAACAACTTCATCAGCAGAGAAAGGGGAGAAGAGAAGAGGAAAAGGACTAAGTGCAATAATGCAAAGTAGCACTTGGGATTGTGAGTTTTGAACCATCCTGTATCATACTCCATAAAATATAGATTGTGAAGTCGTTTCACTTTGGACTCATGACACATGTGGAAGACCGACTGATCACACTGAGAGTCTTGGATGAGTGTCGCTCATCGTAGACGGCCAGTGCGACCAGCGGCTACAGACTCGGTGGTGTTCGTGCTTCATGTGTTTTTGTTGGGAAAAGGGGGTGTCGACGGATGGTGTCTTTTTCGTGTAGAATCTTGGCGCGATGTTGTACATCAAAAAAGAACAGGACAAACAAACGTATCCTTCTGGAAGAGGCCACACGTTCATATCTTTGGCGAGGAGTGGTGTCTTTTTGTTCCTTTGTTCCTTTTCTTCTGTGGCAAAAGTTGGGGTCAGTGTGTTTTGTTTATATTTTCAATTTTCGTTGTTAGCACCTTTGAGTTCGACAGAGGTTGAGAATGTTGGCTTTCCACCAAAAAAATCGTACAATGCCCTACCAGGGACACACCCGAATTCTGCACTTTCCTGAAGATGAGGAGATTTGGTCCGGTGGCCAAGCTTCCAGGTCTGGACATGACTTTGAGTCGGGTGCTTCCTTGCTGACTGTCACAACCACCTAAGGGAACAGAACTTGCTGCATGTTTAGCCATCGGTGTTGAATGCTTACAAACTGAGCCATGTGCATGCAGCTTCGTCAAATGCACAGGGCCCCATAGGGCTCATTGCGAACAGAGACGTTAACACTTATGAACTTTTGCCGGCTTTCATCAAGTTTGTTTACGCGTGGTTCTTGCCAAACCGTTGGTCTTGATCTTCCTCATGCGGAGTTCATATATTGGTCCAAGGGATGCCTGCATAGAGCATTACCCCTTGGTCGACTACATGTATAGATCCAACACTGCATTCACCATGCCCTTGTTTTTGGAATTATTCAAGGAATTTCAAGGATGTTCACAGGGCCCAAATCAGATTCCAAACAGGGCATTTACTCTCCAAGAAACAGGCTTTTGAGTCTTTGATCCAGTTGGCCCTGGCCAGTTGTGGTACAGTAATTTCAATCTTCGGCATGCAAGGTTTCCGAGCGAAGCAATGGAGAAAGTACGAAGCGGCAGCCGAGAGTATGCTGGAGAGGGAACCGACCGCTGACTTGGCATTGGCCGGCTTTCCAAATTGGCAAAAGGCAGAAATGCAAGTTTTCTTGGGCCCAATTGGAGAATATGACGAAGTGAAGATGGTCAAGGACGATTATGACACCCCCGTTTGTTTGGTGTGGGTGAGCCGGGGAAGTATTCCAGCTCTTCTTGCAGCAAGGCTCAAAACGAGCCGGCTGATTTCTCAAGGATTGCAAGTGGTACTCGCCCGAGAGCACACACAAGACTTTGGGACCCGCTCAAGTGGTACTCGCGACTATCAATTTCGAAACGAAGAGCGCGTGGTGCTCTTGAATTTAAGATCGCAGACTGAGCTGAACGGCACCCCCTGCACCATTTTACGATTTGACTCCAACTCCTCTCGATGGCTGGTGCGTTTGGATTCTGAAGAGGAGGACAACGAACTCTTGGTCTCGGAAGCCAATCTGTTGCCCCTGTGGGCCGAAAGAAGCGATGAGATCGAAGAAGCGCTCTCTCCCAAGGCTGAAACAGGCGAAGGTGAAGGGTCGGACGGTGAGGCGCCAAAGCCGAATGAGGCCGATGAGATACCGGAGAGTGATCCAGACACGAAAAAAGGAAGTTCTATTTTTGGGCCCCAGCTAGAGCCTTCAGAGGGACTGAACCTCCAAACCCTGCCCTATATCCTCTATAGTAATTATCTGTAAAAGTGGATCTGGTTGGAGCCCTAGGGTGTGTCGTTTCTCCCGAACCTGCCAAACTTGTACCACAAGTCAGCTAGTATCCGGTCAGCTAGCATCAACGTGAGTTTGCCCTATGGAGTACTGCCATCACATCCGAGGTGACCAAAGAGGAGCTCGGCTCGAGCAGCGAGAGCTCGGCGAAGGAGACGCGGAGGCTGAAGAGGAGCCGGAGGAGCAGAGTGAAGCGGAGGACACCAACCTCTCGAGGAGATCCATAGACAAAGCTGATTCGAAAGGCAAAGTGACGCCTGAACCGAAGAGGAGGGGTGAAGTAGTACGGTGAAACACAAAAAGTCCGTGAAGTACCACCCGCCAGAAACGGGATCAGTGGAACATGGGTGACGCACATGGCACAAAAGGAACCAGGTGAAAAGTCGTGGTTTGGGCGGAATGTCGTGTTTATACTTGGTAGATTCTATACCTGGCAGGGAAGGAGGGCTCAGACACCACTTAGGTCGGTGCCCCTCAAGGGGTCGGTTGTGGATCTTAAAGAGATTAGAATGAGGTCGTTTTCTGCTGGTCACTTGAGTTCCAGGGCTGCTTCCACGTGCCCTGTACTCGCTAGTTATTCCTTCCGAACATGTGTTGCAGGAGGGATTTGGTTGTCTTAGGAGTTGTTTTTAATTAAGGAAAACAACCATCAACTGGGCGACTAATTATATACTTGCTTCTCCAACTCTTTGCATGCATCGTCCTTTTTTGAAAAGCGCTTCTCGTGCTCAGTCAGGCTGCCCCGATGTCGTCCCCGAAAGCAACCCCAAAGTCTGCCATTGGACCCCCACGGGTCAGACACGATGGATCCAACCGCCCCAAGTGATTGGTAAATATTCTGAGCCCATCCATCATCCCATAAGATCATCTAATATCCCATGGAGTCTGGGGGTGTTGCCTCCTTTTTGCCCATAGCACTATATATATATATAGCCTTTGCTCCTCAGGAAGGCCTCGCATGCCGTGGTGGTCACCGGCTTCCCCCTGTGGGACCTGGAACGGATCACCGAGTACTTCGCGCGCTTCGGGGAGCTGCGCACCATCCTGGGCCACGACAAGGCCAAGAATGGACGGAGGAAACTCCTGGTGGCTTACTGTCGGAAGGTGAATGCCAGAACCACCCAAAAGCGTGTGGATGGAACAGAGATTGATGGCTTCAAGTTACATGCCTTCTTTCCCGAGAAGGCAGAGGCCAAGGCCAAGGCGAGGGCTCCAAAGCCAACCATCAGCAAATGAATGAAGTATAATACTTGACGTTGTTCTTCAACAGAGGCACGTCCGGCGGACAAAATGAGGCTTGCTGCGCCAGCGAGGCTTGCTGCTGTGGACACTCTGGTCTCGAGACAAGGTCCATTGCGTTCATCAACCGGCCCGGTTCAACTATATGGTATAGCCCTAAGAAGAAGTCAAGCAGCCAGATCATGCCAAATCCATCAACAATGAGCCCCCAAATCATCCAGCTCTCATCTAAATCCTCTAATTGACATGCTGAAAAAGAAAAACTTGGTCTTCCGGGTCGGCACAAGGGGAGGTCCTTTCTACTTGCCTAGGTGGATTTTGTCGATCCATCCACGCATTTCCTTGGGGCTGGGCAAACATAGGCCTCTCCATTGATACCATAAATGGTTGGTTTTCTTCATTTTTTTGTCGGTGGCTGTGATGCAGGTAACCACTAGTTCACTTGTTGCTGGGTTGGCAAAGAGGTCACTGGAATCCACTGATGGTCATCTTTGATTGCTTGATCCATCACCAAAGCAACAAGACTCACCCACAGAATTCGTACAATGTAGACTCTTGATGAATAAGCCCCCATGTGAAGAGGACTTCCAATTCAAATGGAAGGGTTTATTACTCAATAGTCTAGATTAGCGGAGTATCAAGGAGTGTTACTTGAGGAGTAGAGGTTCTCCATTCTCGAGCACTGGATGGGATGGGTCAGATGGGTCCAGGACCAGACCAAGACCTCCCGCCGGGCCCAGACCTCCCAGGGAGAAGAGATGCAGTGTTCCACTTGGGAGTTTCTCAAATTTCATCAAGTATACACTCTGATGAAATAAGCATGGTTACGTGAATGGGATGGCTTCGATTTCGGTTGACCTGAATGAAATCCGAATACCAAAACAGATGCTTGTTCACACTTCCACGAGTATTTGAAGGACTGTCCCCGAGAACAATGGTAGGACAATGCAGGACATGACCGACATGAGCCGACCAAGTGTTTCAACCAGCTGTTAATCAAAAAATGTGTGCTGCCCCACCCCCAATACAAAATGGCCTCTGTTGTGACCTATGAAGATCTGGACATGGCCACCGTTTGGAAGCTCTTCCCGAGCTCCTCCCAAGCTTCGGCTGGGACGTGGGGACGTGTTGTTACCGAGCTCAAATATATAGGGAGACCTCGCAGGCAACGACCGCCTGGAAGAAGGGAAATAGACCAAAACCATCCAATACAAATTGGGCCAGGGGGTCAAATCAATCAACATACACACCCGTGTCAAAACGTGTTGGACCCAAGTTACTTTGGTCGGCCTTTGCGAGACTCTGCCTCAGCTGGACCAGGTGAAAGACGATTCACCCCACCGTTAAGCCTTTGTGGTGAACGGTGGGTCGAGTGCTGGGTCGAATTCCACACCCATCAGTTTGAGTCAATTGTCTAAGTTGCAGGTTGTGAGGTAGAGAATCCGAACTATGATGATGATTTACATTAAAATTAGAAAGGACACATTATTTACATAAGCTTGAATGGTTGTTTCTGGTGTCAGACAGCCCAAGGTCATTTGACAGCCCGTGATCCAGGTATATCTGAGAACGCCAAGTCAGGGATGTTCCTACATTTGAAACTGGGTGGTCAGCAACTTGTAGGTGATTCATTTCTTTAGATATCTCAAGATACATAATATGTTATTGATGTTTAATATATATATAATAGTTTACACATATAATATATATATATTATATATATATATATTAAGATGGCAAAACCATCTATATTGAACATGGAAGCGGAACATTGCCCCCTTGACAAACATGGGACTTGTCTACTTCCATGTGATGTGCCTCGAATGGCGGGCATATTTGCCATGGTGCAAGCTCTTTTTTTCAAGGGATCCATTTGGTACCTAGATCCCACAACGTCCAAAAATTTATGGTCGAAGACCAGGGTCGTTTCGATTTTTTCAAAAAATGAGCGCCGTTTGGCTTTCATCCAATTCGATCACGTCGCTGTTTTCAGGGCCCCCTGCACTCAATCAAAGGTCTCTACATCACGCTTTGCCAGCACTGCACACAAATAGCGGTTAAATATGTTTCTTCCATGTTGCCGTGCACTCACTCTCCTGGAGAGTCGAGCCACGACACCAACAAAGTCCTCCGACATGAAAGTTGCCTCCGCTATTGGGTTTATCACACAGGAGGAATCTTTGCAAAACTGCTGATATGACTCTAAAATGATATGTGGAGCTTTGCCTTTAGTTTGAAAAGGCAAAAACCTTGAGAATGGCATTTCAATGCCAACTTGGAGTAAGCAGTGAGAAACACCTGGCCAGCTTGTATGGCCTGCCAGGCCTCGGCCTCCTGAAGCCAAAAATTTGAACTGAACAGCACACTCATGTGATGTGAGATTGCGTTGCTGCCGTCCGCAATGAGCTCCAGTATTGGGTCCTCAACATATTGCGCTGCAACGTGCTCAACAAACTTAGTGA